ACACCGCACCAACATGGCTTCAGAAACGGACGGTCCATTCAAACCAATCTGGTTAATTTTGTATCTGATTTGGCTTGCGAAATTGATAAAGGCAAACAAGTGGATACTGTGTATACCGACTTCAGCAGTGCATTCGACAAGGTTGATCATTATCTGCTGTTACAAAAATTAGATGCTTTTGGACTAAACGGATGTCTCTTAGACTGGCTTCGTTCATATTTGTCTGATAGATATCAATCAGTCGTTGTGAAGGGTTTTGAATCTGATGCATATCTCGCACAATCTGGTGTTCCGCAAGGTTCGAACATGGGTCCGCTTCTTTTTATCTCGTATATAAATGATATTACATCTTGTATAGAACATTGCAAATATGCACTCTTTGCCGACGACTTAAAAATTTACAAAAAAGTGGAAACCCGTGCAGATATAGCGTTGATTCAAGGAGACTTGGGCAGGATCGAGGTATGGTGTAGGTCTAATAACATGGAGCTTAATTCTGGAAAATGTTCTTTTGTCCGTTTCACCAGGAAACTAAATGCAATTCCCTCCGTGTATGGTATCAAGAGTCAACCATTGGAGGAATTGACAGAAATAAGGGATTTGGGGGTCATCATGGATAATAAACTGAAATTTACATCACATATTAAACGTGTTACCGCGAAGGCAGCTCAAATGTTGGGATTCGTTAAGAGAAATTCAAGATCATTTAGTAACAGAACAAAAATTTACCTATTTAATGCCCTAGTGCGTAGCCAACTTGAGTATGCTTCTGTGGTCTGGAACCCCACTTATGCGGTGCACTCTCAACAGTTGGAATCTGTTCAACGAGCTTTCACGAAACACCTCGCCTTTCTTTCTCAGGACATATCCCATAGGTGTCCGTACGACCAGCGCATGAAGTTTTTTAAACTGGGTTCGCTACGAGATCGCCGTAAGTTATATGATGCACTATTTCTGCACAAATGTGTTAACGGAACCATTAATAGTGAGGAAATACTTTCACGTATTACACTCTCTGTTCCTCACCATATACCACGAACGCCCATCACTCGGCTGTTCCATCCACCAGTTTGTAGAACCAATGTTGTTGGGCATGCCCCTGTGTCGCGTGTGTGCTGCACTCATAATGAATTTAATGCTGCATTACCTGACCTTGATGTATTTTTTGATTCCCTGGCAAAGTACAAGGCAACTATTATAAGATTTTTATCTGTGGCGGACTAATTATATTCAAATTGTATTGTTGTTTTTATTTTTATTTTCATTTAACTTGAATATTTAAATCAACTTGTTTAATATTGTCTAATTTTGTTTAAAGTCTAATTTAATTATATCTTGGCTGAATACGTAATGAATGCTGTGTACACCTATAATTGGCTTGTATATCAGGACTGTGTAGTGTTAAGTTAATGTAGTAAATGATGTAATATACTTGCTGTTGGTGTTCCTACAAATAAATAAATAAATAAATAAATAAATGCTCATTACGAATATGGCACTCATTTCTAAATCCAAGATGGCGGA